CCCCCCCCCCCCCCCCCCCATTTTTGAAAGAAGTCCCCCCCTCACCCACATTTTTGGAAGAAGTCCTCCCCGTAGCTCAGCCGTGTCTCGGGTGCCAGGCGCTCCCAGAGCTGCTGCAGCGACGCCTCGAGGACCTCGAGGTTGGTCACGGCCGTCTTGAAAAACCCGGGCTCGACGATGCTCACCTTGACCCCAAAGTGGTACATGTCCCTCCTGGGGGGCATGGGTGGGTCAGGGGGGCTCCAGGACCCCATAGGGAGAGGTCAGGGGTGGGTGGGGGGGCTCCAGGGCTGGTGGGGCCTGGCACGCACCGCAGGCTGTCAGAGAAGGCCTCGACGCAGTACTTGGACATGCAGTAGCCGCCGCCGTTGGCCGAGATCCGGCCCAGGACACTGGACGTGTTGACCACCCGGCCCCGCGCCCGCTTGAGCAGCGGCAGCAGCTGCAGCGTCACCTCGATGGCCCCGAAGGTGTTGACGGCCATGACCCGCCGATAGTCCTCGATGTCCATCCACTCCGTGGGGCCGATCGGGTTGGCCACCCCCGCATTGTTCACCAGCCCGAACAGGCCTGTGGAGGGCAGGGGGTGAGGTCCCCCTGCCATGGCCCTGCCCCAGGGCATCTCCCCTGGGACCCCCACCCCACCCCCAGTGTGCCCTGGTGGGACCCTCCCTCCGTGTCCCTGTGCCTCCCTCAGGACCCCTGTCCTGTCTCCAGGGTGCCTTGGCAGGACCCTCCCCTCTGTCCTGCCCAACGGCCGTCCCTGCTGGGACCCCCCCATCCTGTAGCCCCTCTCTGGGGCTCCCCACAGCCCCACCACCCTTCACCTTAGGATGCCCTGGTGGGACACCCCTCCATGTTGCACCCTTGTGAGGGACCCCTAATCCTGCCCCACAGCCCCTCCCTGGGTCCTTGTCCCCCCATATCTCCCGTGCCCCCCTTGCGTGCCCCCCTTGCCCTCACCTTTCTCTCCCACCTCTGCCCTCACCCACTCCCCGGCCCTGCGGATGCTGTCGGAGCGGGTCACGTCCAGCAGGGTGGTCCGGAGGTGGCCCCCGCAGCTCCTCTGGAGGCTCTCGGCGCCGTGTGGGGTCAGGCAGGCGGCGAGCACTCGGTAGCCCCTCCGGCTGAGCCGCCGGGCCAGGAGGTTGCCGAAGCCGCTGTCACAGCCCGTGATGAAAACGTGCTTGTCCTTCACCGAGGGCAGGGTCCGGTGGTCTCTCACGAGCCAGCCCAGCGCCCAGGCCAGGGCAGCCAGCACCACGTACAGCCACATCGGGGGGCCTGCGGGGCGGGGGGGCTGTAGGACCCCACCAGGACCCCCCTGCAGCCCGGGTGGAGCTCGGCTGGATCCCCACCCTGCCCTGGTGCTACCGGCCTGCGGGGAGGGGGGGCTGTGGGACCCCTGCCAGGACTCCCCTGCTCCCCAAGTGGAGCCCCGACCCCTCACGTGGGGACACCCCCCTTCCCCCCCCGGGGGTCTGGTCCCCCTCAGGTGGGCGGTGGGCAAAGGGGGGCACTCAGTGCCCAGGTGCTTGGGGCACACAGGTGACCCCAGGGCCGTCCCTGTCCCCCCGGGGTGGCGTTTGGTGCCCCCGGCCCCCCTCGAGCCCCCCCGGCCCCTGACCCACCTCCCCGCGGCCAGGCCGGGCCCGCGGGCGGCCGAGCCCGGATTACCCGGCCGTGCGTCACCGCCGGGGCCGGACCCAGCGCCGGGGCGGCTCCGGGAGGTCCCACCGCGCCCCTCCCGCAGCAGGAGCGACCCCCGGGGCCCTCTGACCCCCCCGGGGACCTGCAGGGAGGGGTCCTGCACCGGGAGGTCTGGGACCCCGACCCACCTGCCCCCACACCCACCCTCGCGGGGAGGGAGCCCTGGGGGGGGCTGTGCCCCCGTCCAGGAGCTCCGTCTGAGGGGTTTTGGGGGTGTCAGGACCCTCCGTTGCTGGTTGGGGGTTATGGACCTGCTGGGGTGGGAGGGACCCCCGTTCCCACCCTCGGGTTTGGGGGAGTCACTAAAGGGGGGGGGGCACCCGGGGGCTGTCCTGCACCCCGGGGGGGGGGGGGGGTGGGGCGGGCAGGACAAACTGGACAAACTCCCCTCACCTGGCCCTGGGGCAGAACCCCCTCTCTAGGCAGAACCCCCGCAGAAGACCCCCATGGGTCGGGGTGCAGAGGGGGGTCCCCACCTACCTCCTGAGGGCAGAGGGCTCCAGGCGCTGCTCTGGCCACGGTGCCTGAGCCGAGTGAGGTGGGGGGGTCCCGTGAGAGCTGGGGGGGGACGTGGCCACTCCTCCCTGTGCCCAGCACGGCCAAAGGTCTCGGGGGGCTGAGCTCCCTCCCCTGCGATGCTCCAGGGAAGGGGGGGCTTGGGCACCTTTGGGGGTGCTGGGAGACCCCCTCACCTTGTGGGGGGACCCTCCCCATGGAGGAGACCCTGCCCAGAGAACACAGAGACCCCTGGGACCCCCTCCCAGCCCGGGGGGATGGGGGGCACCGCCCCCTCCCCCAGGGGATTAGGGCCCTCCCAGCCCTGGAAAATAGGGGGGGCATCACCCGGAGCCTCCCCCGGGGGGATTTAGAGCCCAGAACGGGCCCTTTGTCCCAGCGAAAAAGGAGCCTCAGAGCCGAGTTAAGCACTAAGGAGGATGAGGGGGCTTAGGGGGACCCGGGGGGGCTGTACCAGGGTCCTGCCGGTGCCTGGCCCAGCTCCCCCCCCCCGAGCTCCCCACACTTTATTCCACCCACTCCCAGGGCGGGGGGTCCCGGGGATGCTCCAGGAGCTGCTGCTGTCGGACCCCTGTCCTGTGCCGGGAGCAGCCACGGTGCTGGGGGTCCCGGGGGTCCCTCAGGAGCAGGAGGAGGGCTGGAGCTGCCCCTTGTAGACGTACTCGAGGGCAGTGGCGATGGTCCTCATGTCCATCTCGATGCTCCGTGCCCAGTTCTCCACGTCACCGATCTCCTGCGGGACGGGGTCCTGGGGGCTTGGGGGAGGTCCCACGGGGGCCCAGGGACTTGGGGGGGGGTCCCATGGTGGAGGGAGGGCTCAAAGGGGGGTCTCTGTCCCTCCCTCTGGCAGATGCAGCCTCATGGGGCTGCTGGGACCCCCTGGATGCCACCCAGGCCCCCCTTGATGCTGCCCAAGACCCCTGGGTGCTGCCCACCCACTCCAGCACAAACCCAAGGGTCTGGAGGCTGCCCCTCTCCCTCCCCCTCAGTGCCCCCTCCCCTTATTCCCCAGTGCCCCAACTCAGTCCCAGGGGTGTCCCAGAGTGACACCCCCCGTGGTGGGTCGGGGGTGGGATCCCCCCCAAGGGCTGTGGATTTTGGAGAGGGGTCCCCCACCTTGAGGGCCTGGTTGAAGTTCTCCACCATGGAGATCCAGTGCCCCGTCTGCCGGGCAAACTGGGCCGCCTGCACCTGCAGGGTCTTCACCTCCTGGTCCAGTTTGCGCTGGTTCACGTAGGCCTGGGCCACCCTGGGGGGGCACGGGAGGGGCTGGGCCGTGGGGTCCTGCCCTGACACCCCCAGGGCAGGGGGAGCCCCGAAAAAGGGACAAAGAGCTGGGGAGGGGTTGGGAGGGGCTGAGGGTGTGTCGGGCAGGGTTTTGGGGGGGAAGGGGTGAGGGGGTGGGGGGTCCTAGGTGGGTCCCCAGCTGGGGGCTTGGGGGTTCTGTGGGGCTGGTGGTCCCTGGGAAGGGGGGGTCTGCGGGGCTCAGGGGCCGCTAGGCAGGGGTTTGGGGCTCAGGGAGTCCTCAGAGGGGGTTTGGGGGTCCCCCTGCTGTGGTTTGGGGTCCGGGGGTCCTCAGTCGGGGGCGGGGATTCCCAGCCGTGGTTTGGGGGTCGGGGATCCGGGGGTCCCCGGTCGGGTGTCCCCGGTCCGGGTCGGGGGGTCGTGGGCTCACCCCACGTTGAGGTGATCGACCAGGGCCTCTGTGAGGCGCGTGGCGGCCGCGATCGCGTCCCTTCGGCGCCGCTCTGTGTGGGGATGGGGGGGTCACACACACACACACACACACACACAGGGCCGTGAGGGGCGGCGGGGCCCCCAACCCCATGACGTCAACATGTGCGTGCGTGACGTCACCGTGACATCACTCCCCTCCCGCTCCCCTCCGTGACGGACAGCCGCGCCAACCAATGGGACGCCGGCCCGCGGTGAGCGGCAGGTCCCGCAGCCAATGGTGGGCGGGGGCGGTCGCGGTCGCCATGGCGACGGGGGCGGGTCTCACCCTGCAGCTCGCGCCGCTCGCTCTGCCGGGCCTGGTGCTCCTTCAGCAGCCGCGACAGCATGGCGGGGGCACGTGACCGTGACGTCACCGACACGTGACGTCCGAATCGGCGCATGACACAGCGCGCGGGGACACGTGACCGGGGGCTGTGGGCGGGCGATGGAGGGACCTATAGGGAGTCTATAGGGGTCTGTATGGGGTCTATATGGGACTGTAGGGGACTGTATGGGATCTACAGGGGACTGTATGGGATCTACAGGG